TATATATAATATCGTTTTCTCACCCCTTTCTCTCCGTCCCCATTCTCTTTACGCCCTCCATCCCTATGTTATCTTTGGGTCAAGTATTATGCCACCGAAACTACCTATTTAGGTCAAGTAAGACGTTAAATTTCATCCTGCCCTCTTCTCCCTTAAATATTCTCCCCACCTCTTCTCCAAACTTAAAGAAGTAATGGGAATATACACCAACCTCCTAGTATTATAGTGTCTTCCATCAAGATATTGTTTCTTCTTTTGTGTTTATTTTAACCCCCACCTTCACATTATGTTAAACGTTATAGAATAGTTCTTTAATATAGATTATAGGCTTTTTGCAGGTCTATTCCTTTTCAAAGTATCACAATGATTTCATGACAGCTCCTTTCGTCAACCTGTTTATTCCATACCTCTGTCCATAGGAAGGCAAAAAAAGGGGAGGGGGCATACAGTGTGGCAGCCTTTTAGTCACATAATATTTTCACTAGTGCCAATTGCAAAGCGCTCGTTGGCAGCTGGGGTGAAAAGAGATTGACTGGGATTTGCAATAAAGGTCAAGTTGATGTTTCCTTTCTTAATTCTTACTGTACTTTAAAAAAAAAAAATTCATCTTATGTAGTCGGCATCAAGGGAAATGCAGTTTTCTATGGTAGGACTACTCTGCCGTTCTTTTAATTGGGGTACTATTATTATATTCATCAGGGTTTCCTTGACTCTCTCAATCCATCTTTTGTTATAGGCTCTCGAGGCTGGCTGGCTAGGTGACATTCGTAACAAGTGGCCAAACCATTTTTATTTTCTGTTTTTCTAGGAAATGCAGACTGGACTCTGTTCAAATTGTTGCTCTTACTTCTTCATTTCTCTTCCTGTCTCTTTTCTTGTGATGTTAAGTCCTTTCTTAATGTTAAGATCGTCTTTCGTGTATAACGTAATGGCTACCCCCATGTTGGCCCCTTAGGAAGTGGAGATCCCGGATGCCAGAAGTAGGTCAAATAAGTTCTGAAAGGAGTTCTCAACTAAACCTTTGTTGAAGTTGCTTTACCAAGAATACGTCCTTCCCGTCGTATCAAAGAATAGAATATACGATATTACAGTTACCTCTTTGTGTGGCTTTCTGCTGCTTCCCACTCGGGAATCGAACTCTGGTCTCCTGCGTGTAACAGCGAAGCGCCTAACGACGCCTACCTCCTTCTCCTTTGTTTTAACCTCTTTCCCCTTCTACTCCCCTTTTCTTACCGCCTCCCCCTCCCCCCCCACCCATTTTTTACATCTCCCCATTTATACACCCCAACCTTTATAACCTGTGCTCTCCACCCCAACTCATTAAAAAAATATTTCCTTAATTTCACCTCCCATCCTTTTAAATCCCCCCTCCCCCTCCCCCTCTTTTCTCTGTAGGCAGTTCTAGACAAAGAAGGTGCTGGGGCTCTCAGGCCCTTTGACGCCTTCATCTCCTACAGCAGCAATGATGACGAGTTTGTGGACACGACACTTCTTCCTGCCCTAGAGAGAGGGGACAGACAGTGAGTAGCTTGATATTTTTCGTCTCTGTTTGTCCCTTTGCATCTCTTTCTTCTATATGATTGTCTTTCTGTTTGTCAATTGCTGTCTGTCTTA